ATTCCCCTGCTAGTATGCGTGAAAAAACAATATTTCTCTCTTTAACTTAATTACAATGATGCTATTTCTTTTGGTCTAATACCTTAGACTACTATGATGAAGGAGCAACCCTAACTTCTATGACTTCATTAAAAAAAAATTATTGGGGGCCAGCTGAGTGGTTCAGTTGGTTAAGAGCTTGCTCAAGAGTGTGAGCTCTGAGCAACAGCAGTTCAATTCCCGGCCTGAGCTGAGCTGCCGCTGAGCTACCAACAGGTGGCAGGATGGCTCAGCTAAAAAAAAACCCAGAAGAACAAAACAAAAACAAAATTATTGTAACTGATGTGGCAGCAAATGGTACTGCACTCAGGTAGTGTCTTTCCACAATTCTCCCTTCATGGTACTGGAGTAACAGGGGTAGGGCGTGGGCCAGGGGAGATGGGAAGTTTACTTTATGCCACTGCACTGAAATTAAGAAATATACGGGTGATTTGGGCTGATCCAGGAAACTCCATGGGACACTAGGGCCTTCAGCTGGGCTGAAGGGGCTTTAGAGAGTTGAAGAGAGAAAAGAATGTCATATCAAAAGATACACAGGGGCCAGCCGAGTGGTGCGATGGTTAAGAACTGGCTTGGGACGCCAGAGGGCCCCAGTTAGGATCCCACATGTGAGGGCCAGTGATGCTGCCCTCCACACACACACACACAAAACAAACAAAAGATACACAGATTTTCAGATGTGGAAAATTGAGTGTGTTATGATCAAAAGGTAAGAGACCTGACTTTTTTTAAATAAGTGGAATATGGTACTTCCATATTAAGTGATAAGATTTCCCTTATATGAGCATCTTTTACATAATGCTTTGGAAACTAATACTCTTATGAATAGAAAATGCTAAATTGCTAATATATTTTCTACAATTTGTCTCTGTGATATGATGCCTTTAACGATATCACCATTGTTTAGGATTTTGGATGACTGATACAAAGCAGCTTATTAAAAGTCAGAAGAAAATCATTCTAAATGTTTCAACAGATGAAATAGTGATCATAGATGAAGAGTGTAATCATCACACCACTGTTTGCAATAGCAGAATTTGGAAACAATCTTCTTGTCCAACAAGGTTGGAAATCTGCATTAGAAAATGTCACCAGAGGGCAGAAAGAAGCCACAGCACATTGCTTGGCAAGTGGATGACCCCTTCCTTGTACTACATGCAGATTTACCCTAGGGCTTTGTATGACTGATTTTCCATTCAAAAAGAAACCATGCAGGAATTTAAAATAATGCTGTTAAAAATTGATTTATTGGCATGGAAAGATATGTTAAATAGAACACTCTGGATATAAAAGCAAGGCCCAAATATAATCTAGATTTTATTTTAAAACATGGCTCTGTCTCCCTCCATATCTCCCATTCCACTCCAACATTTTCAATATAAAAGTATCTAGAAAGATATATAAGAGAAAAGGGTCTGGTAGTTAGCACTGATTCATCTTCATATAAGGGATTTGGGATGTTTCAAAATTAGTTTCTTTTAGCTTATCTGTGTTTCCTATATTCCTACGATGAACATGAATTGCTTTACAATTTAAGACATTGTTTTACAGAAAAGAGAGATCAATTTAGGAAAGAGTGAGTCAAGGATACTGGGAGTACATCTCTGAGGTCAACATCACGCAAGACTGTTACCATCTTTTCCCACAAAATACACTTTGGTGCCACTGTCAGATTTAGAGCTAGCTAGATTGAATAATAGCCTGACTCAGCATGACATTAGTTTTTGCTCTTATGCTAGTGCTTAAAAGCTTGAAACTCTGCACTCTATTCAATCCATTTCATCAAATATTTATTAAGCACCTACTATGTGCCAAGCATTAAGGATACAAGATTAACAAGACAAAGTTCTGTTGCAATTTAAATCAATAAGTGCCCTCATAGAAATTTGTACTTCTTTGAAAGTCCCCAGATGGTTGTTCTGATATTTTTTAGAACAGAGAAAAAAGAAAAAAAAATCATAAGCAATTCTCACTGGCCAAGAAAGTTCAGACTAAAAATAATCTATTCATGTTTTCACTGTTTTAACTCTTATAATATTTTAAACACAAGGTATAATTATGCTGAATTGTAGTAAAAAAAATACCCACATATTTTTGGCTCTTCACTATGATACTAGCACTATTCTCCTTTTGAATCAATAGCCTTTCAGCTCTTTCAGTAGAAATTATTTCAATCTGTTTAGTTTTTGAGCCAAATATCTCAGTTTGACTTTGAGATCGTGACTAGAGACTCCAATTCCCACATGAGGCAAAATTGTTTTCAAAGGCTGAATCAGGCAACATGTTTACACTAAAGTTGCTAAGCCCTGGGCAAACAAACAGTTAAAAAGCTAAAAATGTTTAAAGTTGGGCTTAGTGAATATGAGCAATTTTGCTCGTTATGTTATGATTAATTTTTATGAATTAGAATTTCTATCTCATTCAATAATATACATGTCTTCTTTGTTTTTCTAGTAAATATGATTCCTGTATTCGGAAGAGGCTTTTGTTCTGTTTTGTTTTCTGCATGAGCATTCTCTTATGCAATTCACATGAATCAGAGTATAAAGGAAACTGGAGATCACCTTGAACCACTATTTAATTTGTGGAAGAGAAAATTTAAGCCCAGAAGTAAAGTAGCCTGTGGAAGTATAAGGTGCTCTGCATAGAGCCTTATGAAATAGACACATAACTGGCAGCTATCGTTATGAAAAACTTGTCCTTTAGATCCCTAGTCTATTATGTTTGCTTGCCCCAGATTATTTCTTGATAGTGTTTGGTTCAACCATTCTTTGGATTTGGACTCTGCTGAAGATATTATGCAGGCTGTTTTTTTTAACTGGTATTTAATGGATCAATTTATTCAATTAACAAATACTTATTGAGTGCCTAATACGTGCCAGATACTGGTCTTGGCACTGATTTAAATGTTAACAGAAATTATTAAACAGTAAGTATTATTTCCAATCCATATAAATGAACATATTTGTGGCTTGTCTTGGTGTGTGTGCATATGCATTGCGGTGGTGGTGGTGGTGGGGGGGCAGTGAGAGGGAGAGATGTTTGTCTGTCTTCTTTCCTGTGTAAAAATCTGCTCAATTTTCTATTTTAATTGCCATTATATGCCAAACATGTACTATTAAAATAAGCTTGTTTCTGAGAGGCATGTCTACAGTAAGGTTCCTGGGTTTTATTTTATGATGAAATGCTAATCCCCTTTAAAAAGCATATTCTTTATTTTGTAATTTTGAATAGGATAATATTTTCAGAAACTCTTCATCTGATTAGATTTAGGGCATTAAACATTTCAGCATAATATTTTTTTCCTGGGCCTGCAGCATTTTCATTTTATTGTTAAGTTAAAAACTTTCATTAATTTTAAGACTGCTTTCAAAATGAAATGAAATAGTATGTGTAATGCTGGTAGGTATGCCAGACCCAGAAATACGGCTTTCCTTGTTTAAATTATCTGTCTCTGTTGTAAAACTGGCAGTCAATTTTTAGTAACTCCTGATTTTTATATTTTTTTCACTCCTCATGCAGCATCTTGGCCGTATTTGCTTGCTCTTTCTTTTTATAGCTCTGCCCTAGCTTCTCTTTTCCATTGTTATTTGACTTTACTAGTCTTGCTGTCAATGCATCTCAGTCCTTAGATTCCAGATTGCTATTCTATATCTGTCTGCTTGGTCCTGCTCTGTTAGGGAAAATGGTTTATCTTTGCCCAGTGGACCACCAAAACTCTGATCATCTTTGGCTCCTGTCTCGTTCAGGAATGGGTGGTGCAAGACAAGTGATACAGAATTTTTGGTTGTACATTGAGGGTTTCTCCCAAATTTCTCAAAGACTAACACTCTTATCTCTATTGAGAGGCAAACAGCAAAACAAGTTGCAGAACCTCAATAAATAAATAACATAAATAAATAAATAAATAAATAAATTTTTAAAAAGGATGAGGACGGCATGGATTTCCGTAGTTAGTGCTTCCATCTGTGGATCTAAGGACAAACATTATCAAATATTATCAAGTTAGTATGGTCATATACATAAGTAGCTCCTGAACTGTTATGGGGGGTACAGGGGGAGCTTAAACATTGCTTGGAGGAACTGCTATTAAAACGTCACACAGATAAAGGTTCCTTGATGCTTATAAAATAACCACAATATACAAAACAAACAAAAAACTAACTGAAAATTTAAGTCCCATTCATAGGTGTGGTATAAAATAGTACTGTGGATGCTAAAACAATGCCAGACTAGGCAAGTTCTAAAATATACCTGTTGATACTGTACTAGCCAGTATTTCTAAATACTTATTTTTTAGGTTACACATAATACTAATATACCAATAAATACGAACCATAAGAGTATGTGTCAAAATGCAGGAGGAAGGCCACAGCCAAACTTTATAGAAAAACCTGTTGCCTTATATCTAAGCATGTCACTAAAACGTTTACAGCTATTTTTCTATTTCTAGTTCTCTGTACATTGACGATAGAGCCAAATAAATACATGAGTTCATAGGAAGGTGTAAAGGTCATTCTAAATCCAGGTTTTGGGTATGTCAATGTTTGTCATCACAGCAGAAGGAAGGCTGAAACAGAAAGTTGTAAAAATCCTAAAAGGAAAAAAAAGTACCATTAATTTTTTTTTTTTCTTAAAAACAACAGCAAAACCCATCATCTCCCTGGAGTCTGTATTCTCACCTTCCCAGTAGGTGTGGAGCTTTTAAGCAAACCTACAGTAGAAGCAAGCCCTCTCCAGGAAACCAGTCTCGCTCCAAACTGACAGCGGGTTTCTCTCATCTCGCTGCTTTCCCTCTCATCTGGGAATTGGTTTGCCTTTCGATAGCAACCCAGGGAGGGGTGGTGCTCCCCAAATTAGCGAGGCTCTGCCAAATGCCAGAGGCTCTTCTTTGGAAGAGGGAGGCTCCTCCTTTGGACAGGAGGCGCCCCTACCAGAGCGCGCGCTTACAGAAACGGAAACCACTAGCTGCGCTGAAGTGAGTCAAGTGATGAAATCAAGACTACATGGGAAGGAAGCTCCCCCAACAGCTCACGAACCTAACTGGTGACAGCAGCTGCTGAACCCTGCTCGGGGAAACCATACGCGCCAACAGTTTGCTGCGGTCATGGGGTGGTCCTGGGGAGCACTGGACTCCCCAGCCTCCAGGCAGCGCACCCCTTCCTTTCGGCGAACCGCAGAGGAAGGAAAGAAGTGTGTGGGGGAAATCTAGACCTTCTGATTTCCCAAGGACCCAGACCGTGCGCTGGTTACGAGGTGACCACTGCCACCAGGTCAGTGCAGGGCTCCTCACATGCAGACGGTCTGAGGCACGCCTCGCGCGAAAGAAAACTAGTCTCGCCGACCACGGGGCGAGGACCTCGCCTCGCGGCGGCCGCGCTCTGCCAGGACGGTGCCCCCCGCCCCGCGCGCGGTCCCGGGTCCTCACCTGGAGCGCTCAGGTAGGGCTGGGGCGGGGCAGGAGGCTGGCGCGCAGGCGCGGGGCGGGGGCCTCGCCCCTGCCGACGTCGCAGGCTGGAGCTCACCTGGGAGACTTGAGAGGAAGCGGAGCCTGGGTTCGGCCTCTCCTGGAAACACAGGAGGCCCAGCGGGAAGGCAGGAGGCGGCGGCGGAGGAGGAGCCGGACTGAGCGGCAACTGTAGCGACAGCAACCGGAGCCGCCGCCGTCACCACCTGCACCTGGCGCCCGGCCCACGTCCAGCGCCTGCCTGGCCGCCGCTTCCCGCCGCCCTGCCCTGCCCTGCCCACCCGCCAGGTAAGCCGGCGGGCCGGCGCTCGGCCGGGGGGCGTCCGGAGCCCCCGGGCGGAGTCGGAGGGGGTGGTAGGACGGGCGCGGGGGTTCACGTGGTGGGCAGAGGGGTACGGCCTCGCTGGCCGGTTGGAGATGGTCTCGAGAGCGGCGTGTCAGTTGTCCTCTCGGGAGAGGCCGAAAGGGGCGCCAGAGGCCAGGGGGAGGTGGCGCCCCCGGGGTAGCCCTGTCACCCGCGGTGACCCCTATCTGTCTCTGTAGGGGACGCTCCCGAAAGCCGGACCTGGGCCGAAGTCCTGGTGGCCCCGAGCTTGCCCCTGGGAGGGTCGCAGAGTCGGGGTTCGGAGGGGCTGGGCCGGGCGCAAGGCGGCCGAGTTTCCATCCCGGCTAACAGGTTGCCAGTCTCCCCCCCCCCCCCCCCCCCCCCCGCCCCTGTGCCGGAGGAGGCCGAGCCCGCGACGCAGAAGGGCATGACTTTGCCAGGCAACTTTCCCAGCCGGACCCCAGACAGTCCTGGGCTGGAAACCGCGGCCGCCCGAGTCATTTAAATGGTTTCCGGGTGGTTTGGAAAGAGCTCTGTGGTCGGGACACGGACATCCCTCTCTTTCTCTCTTTCTTCTCTACATTTTTCCGGGCGCACTCCCTAAACCAGAGCTGCGCCCACTTTCCGGTTTGATCAAGAAGAGTTATTTTCTTCGTGACAGGAGGAAACCCAACTGCCACTCACCAACCGCACACCATCTCGTTAAAGGACCTGCTGACTTAATGACCTGTATATCGCGGCTATGGTTTGCTGTTGCATATGACTCAAAAGTTCAAAAAAAAAAACCCAACCAACTTTGTTTCAGGATCTTGCCACGTCTGAACCTGGGTGTGCCGGGCCCAAATTCCTTTCCTTGCCTAATTAGGCTTTCCTGAAGCCTAAAAATTGAGGGTGAAACTGGTGCTTACGTTAGACGTTTATTTCCTTCTCTCACACTTCATCAAAACAGATCACTTCAAACTCATCAAATAGCTATTTCTGTTTTTAGGACCCCCATCGAGTTACTAATTTTTCTGATTATGTTACGCTAACATAATTTGCTAGAGAGCTTATGCTACGTAACAAAGACATTAAACTTCAATTCTATTGTTAAAAAAATCTTAAAGTTGCTGTATTTTACTTTGAGAATTTCTGATTGTGGGAAAAATCTGTTGCTTCTTTTACTGTATAAATTTTTCTTTGAGTTTGTGGCTGAAATAGATGAGGTTAAAGTCATACCCTACAATTAGATTTGTTTCAATTTAACTTGTAATATCTGAAGCTTAGCATACATCTTAGTTTAAACATTCTGAACAGTTTAGTACCTTGCATCTTTCTTTTTATATTGCTTTAGCAAGCATTTTTAAATAGAAATTTCTAGTAATAGATGGCAATTCCATTGCCTAGGTTTGTTTTAGTTCTATCTTTGCTAATGTTAAAAATATATTTTAAATTGCACATTTAACAAAAATGCCTTAGGCAACATATACCATTTAAAAAAAGGAGCAGTTAAAAGCTAAAAAGTCAACCACAGCATAACAGGGCATAATTATTAATGATATTTTCAACCAGTGCTTTCTGCTTTTCTTGAAACAGCCTTGCCTCCCCTCTTAGTCTTGTCATCATACAGAGAAATAAATGTGCTAAATACTATTTAAAAATTTGTTGTAGGTGTTCCTCCTTGAATTTAGAGTATTAATATTAATCCTCATTGATTATTGGGCCAGATGTTAGAGTACCTTTTCTTTTAACTCTAGGGAGAAACGCAACATGTTTGCACTAGCTACAGTAACAGTGCACCTAGTTAAACTATCTGTAAAATAGGAAAAATAATACTTCCTTAGACTGAGATAATGAAGCTGTAAAGCAAATCAGGAAGCTCCTGTAGCCTTAGCATGCTCAGGATCCCCTTCTCACTTGAAGATTCAGATGGTGAAAAACCAAGGCCAAAAGAGGTATTCTAATTTTTCAGTTTACATAGCAAGTTAGTGGTACACATGGCATTATTATTCCAGTGGCTTGACTCAAGGCTCATGTTATCTTCGCTTTTTACCACCCACATTCTCACTTATAAGGTGTTTATCCTTTTGTCTTTCATATAGTCTGTAAGGGCTTTGTAAGGACAGAATTGTTCATTGTTCTTTGTCCAGCTCTGATTTACCTTAATTTCTGCTTGTCCAGATGATACCTGACTCCAGGGAGACTGAGTTGAGGCCATCAGCCTTTTCCTTTCACTGTGAATCACATGTGATTTGAAGATGCCATGTGGATTGCGATTTTTAAGACTTCCTTGGTATTTCAGAGCCACAGCTAATTTTTTGAGTCAACATAGACAACATAATTTAGTCCTCTGATCTTTTATTGTACTGGCTTAAAATATATTTTATGAGGCAGCGACCCAGGGTCTCCCCCTCTTTTGCAACGCTTTAGATTTTTGGTTGCCAAGCCTACTTTGTCAACACCAGTGTTTTTAAACTTTTTTTGGACTGCAATCCTCAGTAAGAAATGCATTCTGTGCCTCAGTGCAGCACACTGTAGTGTGTGTGTATATAAATAAAACAAGGCTCACAAAACAATGCTTAACCTTACAACATGGATGTTCTCTTATTTTAAAAAATATTGGTCTCAACACACTGGATTGGTTTTATGACCACAAATAGACTTGAACCTATAATGAAAATAGTGAATTTACATTTTTTAAAGCTGATTTTTCTACCAGCTTACTGTCTCTGTCTCTGTCTCTGTCTTCCCCAATCCCCACCCCCGCCACACACTCGTAAGACAAAAAAATCAAACTGTACTTTTTAAATATATAAAATTATACTGTCATCCTTACTAAACATTTATTGGACATTTTGAGACTTTAGGACCTGGTGCTAGATTAAATCAAACATTTGGAACTGCATAAAACCTCATAGTACATTATTGTATTTTAACTGATCTCACAGATTCATTGCACACAAATTTTCAAATATCTAACAGTTAATTTAGGTATCGTGACTCATCGCTTCTGTATCTTCCCCCTCTACCGTAACCTATCGCCAGTTGTGTTTGTGACTTAGTACAGTAAAGGTGTATTTCATAGCGGCATCTTTGTGTGCAATGAATCTGTGAGATCAGTTGCGCCCGATTGAGGGTTAAATGGGTTACTCTGAGGGGGTTTTGATGCTAACAATTATCACATGAAAATTCGAGATACAAAAGTAATTCTGTTCAGTTCAATTCTAAGTTCTAAATTTTATGGCTGAGTTACATACAATGCTTGCTGGAGTTTGAAAAAAATTAAACATAGGCCAGTTTATTATTTGTTTGGTTGGTAGTCTATTAATTCTTTCACTGTAAAACAGATATAAGAGACAAATTGTAGGAATCATACTTCTTTCTTCCAAAAAGACAAGATTAGGTTAGATCCCTCAGTGACCTGTAGGGATGCAGGCTTGGATAAATTGATTAAGCCTTTCACAGAAGCTTTTAATTTTAACCTGCCTTCACATTCCTGGGAGAAGGAATTTTTCTCCTAAAGAAAATATTAGTGTATTTAATATTTTGGAAATGATCAGTGCCCAAATCAGTTTCAGGCATATTCAGTTCTCTGGTCCATAAATTGTAAAAATGCATTTGGTATGACTAATCTTTTATGGGTATAAAATCTGATTGAAAAGGAAATATTTTCCTTTTTTGGGGGAAGTTCTTTTTCTAAGTTTATTAAATTGGGGTGACATTGGTTAATAAAATTATATAGTTTTCAAGTGTAGAATTTCTATAGCTCATCATCTATATATTGCATTGTGAGTTCACCACCCAAAGTCAAATCTCTTTCCGTCACCATATATTTGACCCCCTTTACCCTTTTACGTTCCCTTCTACCCCCCTTTCCCTCCGGTAACTACCATAAGAGATGGAAATATTTTCAATCACCTATCTAATTATGCCTATAGTTAGTATTGGAATGATTCATTTTATACAATTTGGATAATTTTAACACAGTTAATGTACTGCCAATAGCAACATTGAATTCGAATCAATGCCAACCATGGCAAGAGACCAAAGTGCATTAACTTAAGGCAAAGAAAAGACAAGTAGGACTCTGAATTCTAGGTCATTAGTGACTATTGACAATTAGATGAAATCTCCTGGACTCATTCTCTGAGTTGAGCTCCTATCTTTGGTACTGAATAGAGAGTATTTCCCTGAGTACACATTTTCCCTGTAATTGTTTCAGTTTCAAATTGTCCATACTAGTTTGTTCATCTATCCCATTGCCTGCTGGACATCTTTAAGATGTCATAATGACCCAAGAAAATGGCCTGTGTAAACCAGAACCTTCTTCCCATAAAAAAAAGAACAAAGAAGGAAAAAAACAAAAACAAAAAAAACACACGAAGACAACCTGTTCCACTGTATATACTCTACTTATAGGTATTAGTATATTTATCATTTCCTATTCATGATTCCAAAACCAAAAAAAAATCTCTGTAAACCAAAAAAAATTTTTTGGTTCCTCATTCGGCAGCAAAACCTGAACTCATTTGCTGCAAAACCTGAGTGCACTGTCAGGAAGCTATTTATGGTCTGTCCCACTGGGTGCAGTGTGTGTTGCTGCAGAAATATTGCTGTGTTTGATTACGTGGTGCTGTCCCAGGCCCTGCTGGGGCTACCCTCTTATATTGGGTATGTAAACCTTACCATCCTTCTACTATCAAAGATATTCTGAATTTTGAAACCTATTTGGCTCCAGGGATTTTGGAGAATGGGCTACGGATCTGTGTCAGTATCCAT